GGACTGGGACTGGGAATGGGAATGGGGATGGGGATGGGGACTGGGACTGGGAGGGGGAGAGGGATCGGGATTGGGATCGGCATCGGGACTGGGATTTGGGAGAGGGATCGGAATCGGGATCGGGACGGGAATTGGGACTGGGACCGGCATTAGGATCGTGATCGGGATTAAGACCAGGATGGGACTGGGAGAGGGATCGGGATTGGGATCGGCATCGGGACTGGGATTTGGGAGAGGGATCGGAATCGGGATCGGGACGGGAATTGGGACTGGGACCGGCATTAGGATCGTGATCGGGATTAAGACCAGGATGGGACTGGGAGAGGGATCGGGTTCGGGAGAAGGAGAGGGATAGGGATTGGGACAGGGACCGGGATCGGGTTCGGGACTGGGAGAGGCATCAGGATAGGGATGAGGAACCGGAAGAAGGATCGGGATGAGGAGAGGGATCACCAGGCCCGGGATCGAGGTCGGGGTCAGGATCAGGACAGGCATCGGGATCGTGTCACGGTGCCGTGGGAGGAGCGGGGGTTCCGGGGGGCCGGGCCGGCACGGCGCGGACGGATCTCGGTGCTCCCGCGGGAGGCGGGGGGTGCCTCGGGCGGTGCCGCTGGCGGGCGGGCGGGACACGTGTCCGGCCCCGCCGGGAACGGAGCGTTTGGCGAGTAACGGCCCCGCCGGGGCTGCTCGGCAGCTCCAGCACCCGGCTCTGTTCTCCTGCCCCCGCCGGCGCTGAGCACCAGAACGGTGTAGGTAGTGCAGCTGAAATGAACTTGCGCCTAAGAGAGAAATCAGTTAAAAAAAACCCAGGACAAAGCCAACCCTTAATTTGTGAACTGCAAAACGTGATGTTTGTCTGAAAGCTCGAATATCTGATTGTGATTTCTTTTTAGTTCTAGAATGGGGAGCCTACAGTCTACTTCTGTAGGATTGTCTAATGATGCTGCTGTGAGTCAAATACAGGTAACATTATTTATGCTACTTTTACTTATTTTCAACATTTATAAAAGCTATGGGTACTTAAAACGTTTTCTTATTTATACAAAGAAATACTGTAAATAGTTCTGCATGTTGAACCTGTTCTTATGCTTATTATGTTTATCAAGTCATGCTGGCAGCATTGTTTATCCACAGCCCTGGAACCTGATCTTCCCAGGCTGCACCCATTTTATGTTTTTTCAGACCTCTACTCAATTTTTTGGAGTCAAATACAGGTCAAACATGGCTTCATAGGTGCCAGCAGTAATCCTCCTGTATTTGTTACCATAATACCAGCGTTTTGACTTCTGTATTAGCTTTCATGACTGTTCTATGTTGTTGGAAATGTACTGGCACAAAGTTCACTGACTGAAACCTCACTGACTTAAACTTTCTTTTGAACATACAGAACATTATTTCAGACAACTGTGTGGTGATTTTCTCTAAAACAACATGCCCATACTGCAAAATGGCAAAAAAGCTTTTTGAGGGTTTGAATGTGAATTACACAGCTGTGGAACTGGACACAAATACAAATGGAAGCCTGTTCCAGGACATCCTTGAGCAGATGACGGGTGGCAGAACAGTGAGTATCTTCTCCTACACATAACAAGCAAAGTAAGAACTTGGGATACACATGTGCCCCTTGGGGTATGTCCATATCAAGTTCTTCATCTTTTTGAGACAAGTAACTTGGGATACAAGCTCCTAAATTAAAGACAAGGTACTGCAGAAGGGTTCTGTACCCTCTTTTCCTTTAGAGCCCCCCTGGCTATCCCTCAGTTATCTTTTCCATACTGCCACTGAAATAACCGAAGTATCTGTTTTTCATTTGTATATTTAATCCATTGTGTTAAACAATTGCTTTGTATTTTCTTTATTTTCTACAGTCTCACTTGACTCAGTTATTACAAACTCCCACACAGTGACTTCATCCCACTTCTGAGGGGCACTCAGAGCTTCCCATCTCTGTAAATATTATGGAAACATATGAGTTGTGCACTAATATTACACATACATCTAGAAGAACACAACTATTGTGTGTATTAGAGTCCATGTGGGCTTACTTAAGACTTTTATCTTTTTTCCAAGAAGTAACTAATGTAATTTTTGTTTTCTTGACAGGTTCCAAGAGTGTTTATCAATGGGACTTGTGTTGGAGGTGCAACAGATACTCAAAGGCTTCATGATGAAGGCAAACTGCTTCCTTTAGTTCATCAGTGTCAAATAAAAGCAAATTCCTGAGCAGCCATCCAGCTTAGCTTCATCTTCCTTCGTATAAACAGAATTTCAGATGAATGCAGAAGATCACAAAGATACACAGCATGAGCTGCACTCAACAACTTCAAACCATGGCTTTCTGAATCACAAACCATTCTCTGACAGACTTTATGGACTTAGCAAATTAACTGGTGTCCTTGCTTAAGCTTTATCATAATCAAAATGGTCATTAAAAATCATTATGTAACTCAGGACTCTACATGTGAGACAGTGATGTCATTTCATGGCTCTTACATCCTGCTTCAGAGAAGTCTAAACTGTACAAAAATGATGGGTATTTTTTTTCTGCAGGTTAGTTTGCTTTCTAGCTTTGTTTCAATAAATGGTCAGTTTAATTTAATGGTGCCTTTATATTCAACTCTTCTCTGTCAAATTGTAATGAAGTATGAAGCCAAACAAATTCTGGTGTGTGTGTGTGTCTGCCTCTCACATTTCAGTGCCTGATCACCGAGCTCCCAAACTGTATCCACTTGAACAGAAAAGGGAATGAAGAGTCTGGCAGCTTTAGAGGGGAAGTAATGGCTTTCATCTCTACTCTGCTCTACAAAGTATCAGTCTGTACAGTGCCATTCAGGAATTCTCCTAGGGGAGCCAGACAGCTGACACTAAACTGCAGCTACAAACTACTGTACAATTATCCAACAATATAAAAAAAAAAAAAGACCAAGTCAAATGGGTCTAATATGCATAGAGTTTATTTAGTACTTAAATTCTACAATCAGAATGCAGTTTACTAGCCATTTTAACTTTCAGTTAAATGTCTAAAAGAAATTGCTAAAATTCAATAGTTTCATACAATGTACATCCAAAGCCAGAACAGGCAATGCCAAGACTCTTGGTTATTTCAAGGAAGTCCATATGCAAGTAGAAAATTCTATCCCATTCTTCAGTAAAAGGGACCATTACACAACTAAAGGTGCACACATTAGAATAAAAACATTAGTCAATTAATTTTTACTCAGTTTTTGTGAATTACTCCTGTTATTTCCATTGCTTTCAACACTGCATGTACCTAAACTACTTTTTTCCCCCTCAAGGGAAAAAAGCATCACATTTATCTTCAACTCCAGGTAGCTAGGACTGCAAGAGTGTAATTTAAATTTGACAGCTTTATTTTTGTGATGCAGGTTTGAAACTGCATCATTTATAGAAAGTCTTCAGAATAGAGTTGTCTCCACTGTGCATCTTTAATGTGTAATAAGCTAATTAAACACACTGGCCTCGTTATATTTTTATTGCCATTTACTGTATTTTGCACAGTCATCAAGATAAACACACAAATGTGCATCTCTTCCTGAATTCATACTTAATAAAGCAATTTATTTTGCACATACAGTCGTAAAACAATACCAAGTACTCTTTTTCTCTGTGTAGAATTCTTCGGCCAGCTAAGTGTTTTCAGAAGTTTAGCAATAATTTTGCCCCTGAAAGCTGATAAACCCATCATGTAAAAATAATAACAATAGTACGCAAAGGAATTTTTCAAAGACCTTTTCATTTTGTTCCCTGTTTAGGGACTTGTTTTTCAAACAGTAGTCTAAAATAACCCTTTGAGTTCCAAGCTTCGGAAATCCCAGGGCACTGTCACTTAAGGCAGTAATCTAATCCAGCTGGAGAAAACGTGCTGTATGCCTGCAGATCCAAGTGAGTGCCCGTCTATTAAAGGAGATATGTCTTAAGGCACCCAAAGGGTTAATTATGTTTCTTTTTAACCATATTAAGGCTCCCCATCCAAATAGTTTTTCATTAATTGTGTATAATTTCACAGAAAGTAGCAGCAAGACAGTGCCTTCATTATTGGATGGCACAAAGCCATGTTATGTTTAAGTTATTTAAACATGATATGGCAGTTAAAGTGTGGTTCTACTCTAGGAAATAATAAAAAAAAAACCAAACCAAACAACAAACAGATTAAGAGACTCAAGAACAGTCATTAAAAATTTCCATAATTTTGTGCCCAGCACTGTCTCCAGGACAAAGCTGTTTATCTTAAAATATGCTTGCCCTGGGATCTGAATATTAAAATGTATCCACTAAAAGATATGGATACCTGCTCATCCAGCCTAAATCCCATGCTTCTAAGTCTGAGAAGCTGGAAACAAACACTGAGTTTTTTAACTAAGCAGACAGATCTGTGAATGTGCCCATCTGTTGCTTTTTTTATACAGAATTCTTTTTAAAGAGTAGAACTGCACTTTTATAGGAGAATGAAAAGACATTTTATTTGTAACTAGTTGTGCTTAACTCTTAAGAAGCTGGTTAACATTAGGGAAACAACTATTTATATTCATTATTCGTTAATGAAGCATTTGCAAAAGTTCTCCACATACCTCATATATATGCAAATATATATATATTTTTGAACTTAAAAGTCAGAATGCAGAAACACCTAAAGAAACCACGCTTTAAGTATCAAAATTATAAATCCAAATATGTAAGCACACATATTTAAAGACACCATACCTTCTGCCGAAATCAGCTAATCTTACATGTTATCTCTCAGAGCAGCACATACACAATATACTGTCCTAGTTAGTGTATTACCTTTCCCCCCCCAAACTCTTACTCAGCAATTTGTACACAATACTGTGTCATGGTGAGATGAAATCTCTACCATTCCAGCAAGAAAGTCATTAAACCAGCTTGCTTACAGCATATCTGCACTGCAAACCACTGCAGACAGCAAAATAAACCTATAAACTGATCAAGTGTCAGAGAAAGTAAGGATTAAAAGCACAAGCAAATGATACTTTGCTTAGGTTTACTTCTACAGCCTGTTCTTTAAAGACTTCCTCTAGTCAATACTGCAAAGAAGTTGCCCATTTATCCAGAATATTAATTTAAATGTTTGCCTAATTCTGCCTATGACAGCAGCTTGATAATATTTAATGGAATAAAAAGTTTCAAACCACTGAGCTAATTCTAGAAAAAAATTTGAAAAGCCAATTGTAAGAGGTTACTTTATAAAGTCATTCACAGGCAGGTGTTGGATTTTTGTAAATAAACAAAGTATACTTTTGTCACTGATTTTTACACAAAGTTTTGCCAAAAATCTGATAGATACAGCAAATCGAATGTTTTGTAAAAGATTTACATAATTAAAGAAAAAAGTTAATCCATTCTTAAAAAAATTAAAATAAATACTATGACATCAGTTCCGGTGTAAGTAGCTAAGCGCTCAATGACAGCAAAAAGGCAGAACAGAGGCAAAAATAAGAAAAAGGAATGGATGAGAGCTCGTGAAAAAAAGATTCAAGTATAGGCCTGAGGTGATGAAGAGAAGGGAAAGGAGAAAAAAAATCAACATTAACAGAAAAAAGGAAGGGTAAAGCAAAAAGATAATAGAAGAAAAAACCCAAACGGAACCAAAACTAAAGCTTCTGTTACAGTAGCTGTGAGTCAGGTACATGGTTCAGCAGCATAGCATTTTTTGCAATGCACAAAAATATTTTCATAGTGTTCTTACAGACAGAGCCATTATTAAAATACACTTCCAAAACTGCTGGTGTTTCTTTAAGCCAAGAATATGTATTTTGTTGAATAGCCTTTTAAAGCCATAACCATTTATGGGCACCAGTTAAACAACAACAATGCAAAAGAACAACACAACCCCCCTTATGATTCATGTTTAATAAAGAGGTTTAATAGTGGTTTTAAGCAGCAAGGTATTTTAGGGCCAGTTATTAGTAGCCTTCACACAGTGGGCATTTAGACTGGCCCTTCTGACTTCAGAGCTACACCTACTTTTAGACTTTTCTTTTTTTTTAAACACAGAGGAACGTAGGTAAAGACCCCATATTTTGCCTGTAACCTCATTCTACAAGCATCCCAAACACTCCTACTCCTTGCTCCAGGTCTAAAATTCCTGACACGAAATTCTATTTCTTGGCCCTCTCCACATTCTTCATTGTGTCCCTTCCATGAAGAACCTTGGCCTTTGATGTTTGTTCCTTACAGCCCTTCATTACAGAAGAATGTTTTACCTCTGTTGTGCTTCCAACCATTAGAACCTTTTTTTCTTTCTTAAAATGCCTGAACATTACAGCCTTAGACTGCATAATTGTTTAATACTGCAGAATTGTTAAGGGGGTCACAGTGAAATGGCAGCCAAAGTGAAACCTCTCAGTTCTGTCAGATAGCAGGAAACCTGCGTTCATCCACTCTGCTGTTGCACTCTGCATTTAGACTTATTTTAATCAACATTTTGAATAAAATTAACTAGCTTTAAACTTCTCCCTGCTCAATTTTTACTGATAAACTGCATTGCACAATTACAGCCCCATTTCTGCTTTGTTAGCCAAAGTGTTCCTCCAATGCAAACACCACTATTAATTTCAAAGAGTCCCTGCCTCCTCTTTGGTGAAAAGGTAGGTCATTTATCGTACACTGAACTAATGCTTCAGCTTAGCAACTCTGTCTTAGTTCACTTTTTTTCTATTATTTTTGAAGCATTACAGTAATTATTGCCTCTTTACGTGTCTAGATATTGGCTTGGAAATTACCAGTTTAATAACTGAACACTAAAGTCAGCGCATTTATGTTATGGCAAATGAGTCATGCTGTCCCCTAAAATTCAGGGTACGGGCAGATAAAGATCCAGGAAAGATAAAGATCCAGGGAAAAGGAATACACAGCACTGTTATTCTATGCCCCTTCCTGGAAGATAATAACAAACCCGAAAAGAAAATCATAGAAACAAAGGTCACACTATGAAGTTTCAGCTGTCAGCATTTACTTCATTTTCCCCTCTCTGTGTAAATCTTAAGGGAGGAGCAGACGACAATGTGGTCTCACCAGTGCTAGTTTTACATTGTGTAACCAAACCACTTAGAATATTCTATTTCTAGCAAGATTTTTTTGTACAGAGACACTATAAATGTTTAGGAGTGTATTATGTACCCTAGCATGGATGACTATCTTTTATTATGGGTCAGAGCTATCCAGTGTCAATAAATACAGGGAGCTAAAATTTCTATCAGTTCTACTGAAAAGTTCACCTTTACTTACACACTCTAGTTCAAGTATTTTAAACTGGACTGCTTTCAAAGATGCAACACCACTATAACCGTTCATTCAGTCTGTTAGTAACTATTCTAACCTTTTATTTGCAGTAAGTTTACTTGAAAATTACTTGAAACACCTGTTTAAGTTTTCATTTTATATTCAGTCCAAAATATTTCCTATGACTTCACAAATACTACTCCAAGTAAGAAAAAGTACTTGCAAAAGTACATCAGTTATTTTCAACGTCTCTAGCTTAGAGGAAACACCTAATCAGATGTTTGACTACTGTGTAATTTAAAACACATTACTACCAAAACCAACCCCAAAACATCAGTGCATTTACTTGAAATAATTATTAACATGTATTGAGCAAATGAGTTTACTCCCCACATTGATATGGTGTTTTGTTTAGATGCTAAGAATGATATGCAATTTTTCACATGAAATGGCTGGTTTTCTTTTTCAAACTCAAAGTGCTATGTCTCAGCTTTTGTAGGAACACGTTTTTTTTCCTTGATGTCACCTGAGGAGCTGGTGGCAGTCCTGTATTCTCCAAGCTTTCTATCAGAGCTATACTGTAAGAGCAATGATAATTCACAAGTGACTACATTAATGTTCACTGAAAGGTAACACTCCTACCATCAGTTCTTTAAGCCCTGGTTTTAATGTCAGAAAAGGCTTCCCTCACTGGTTTGGTTTATTTATTAAAGGAGAGTGTAAGTAAGTAGCAGAATACCTTCAGTAACATGTAACATCCTGTTTTAGCACCAAAAGAGAGACCCGCACTACAGAATGCGAGCTCTGGATTTGTAATTAATATGTATGAGGCAAAAAGAAAAGTGTTACAAGTATCAAAAGTATAATATGAATTTACATTTAAAAGCTTAGGTTTTAGGCAGAAAAATATGGTCTTACATGTTATTTACCACAACGGGTAAATGCGTTATTTTTATACATCATAATTATTTTCAAATTAACATCAAATTCACTGTTTAAAACAGCCATCATTAGCATAAAAGAGGCTGACACACATATGTTTTAGAGGAAGTTGTAAAAGCATCACTAAAAAAACCTTTCTAATCTTTTAAGACTGATCTACTAAAGAGATCTTTTAACTTCCCCCCATACTGACACATATAAAACACACACAGAATTAAATACATATACACATGAATTGCTATCAATCCCTGTTCCAAAGTGGTAAGATACTCACTAGCTTTCTCCTTGTTTACTCACAGTCTTACTATGAAACTAAAAATAAAAAAATAAAAAAAAGAATCCAGTTTCAATCACTTCCTAAACAAGATTTTGTGAACATGAAAGATGCAACTGTACAGTTCATAAAAGTTTTTAAGAATTGGTCACTATAAACTGGAGGTAGTTTTGAAACATGTTAGCTTGAATTAATTCATGAAATCAGAAGTAGCGTTAATCTACAAAAATATTTTTAAAAATGAAATACTCTCCTGTTAGGAGGATTGTTTCTGTATTACTGAATACATTCTTTTGGAAAAAAAAAAAAAGTAGCTTATGGTTTCTGGTTGTTCCCACTCAGCTTTGGAGAGCAGGCCAAGACACATGCACTCGTTGATCTCTCTTGCTGAAAGTGTGCTTATGCTTCCTGAAGTTGTAATATGGACTGAATGTGGCATCCCAGTCATTTCCAAGGTCTTTTTCTACTAAAAACAGTTTTTAGAACTTCCTGTAAAGCGTATTAATTCTAAAATAGTGCTTCTGAAACTGTATTGTGCAGAAACTGCCCCTCAATTTATCTAAAGAGATATTTACTCCAGAAAACTCAGATGATGATCTACAGAGAAAAAGACTGGCATGAGCTCTTCCACTTTCAGTTTTATCAGTATAAAATTTCCCTGGATAACTTTTATCCTGTATCACAGTCACATGGTCTCAATATGTACCAGAAAATACTTTTAGGTTTAGTAGGTTTTAACTGTAACCATGGAAACCATTGAACCTTAGTAATGCTTAAAATACAAAGATTTAAAAAAGCCCAAAGAAAAGTCCCTCTCAGTGAAGTTGCTGTTAAACTGACATTATTAAAAATACTAAATCCATTTTTTCCAGCCCCATTCTAAAAGTAATTGGTCAATTTATTCTCGCAAACAAGCATTCCACAGCAACAGGGGAGGGGGAAATTAAAAATCTCTCCATATTTATAACCTATTATAAGTGAAATTAAATTATGTATACCCTGTAGCCACTTTTAGCAAACTTCCCACTGTTATTTTAAATTGTGTGCAACAGGAAAAAAGAGAAAAGAGATTTCTCATCCGCTTTTCTTGTTTTCCCTTCACAAAAAGGTAACAAAGAATCACAGGCTCATTATGGTTGGAAATGACCTCTAAGTTCATTGAGTCCAACCTTTAACCTAACACTGCCACATCTACCACTCAGCCACGCCCCTAAGCACCACATCCACGAGTTTTTTGACCACTTCCAGAGATGATGATTCCACCACTTCCCTGGACAGCTTGTTCCAATGCTTGACTAGACACAGGATTTGAGGTGTGGCCTCACCAGTGCCAAGTCTAGAGGGACAATCATTGTCCTGGTCCAGCTGGCCACACTATTGCTGATACAGGTCAGATCCTTTCCCACCAGGCAGCTTTCCAGCCACTCTTCCCCAAGCCCGGAGTGCTGCACGGGGTGGTTGTGACTCAAGTGCAGGACCCAGCACTTGGCCTTGTTGAATTTCATCCAATAGTCCTGGGCCCATGGATCCAGGCTGCCCATATCCCCCTGCAGCACCTTCCTATCCTCCAGGCCATCAACCCTCCTGCTGCCCAACCTCAGGTCATATGCAAATGATCCTCTCATCCAGATCAACAAGATGTTAAACAGGACTGGCCCCCCTACTGACCCCTGGGGGACATCACTGGTGATCAGCCACCAGCTGGAGGCAACTCCCTTCACCACCACTCTCTGGGCCCGGCCATCAGCAGTTCTTTATCCACTGAACAGTGCACCCATCCAAGCTTCTCCAGGAGAATGCTGTGGAAAACAGCGTCAAATGCTTTCCTACAGTCCAGGTAGACGTATCTCCAGCCTTTCCCTCATCCACTATGTCACAGAAGATCAAGTTGGTGGAGCAGGACCTGCCTTTCATAAACCCCTGCTGGCTGGGCCTGCTCCCCTGGTTGTCCTGCATGTGCTGTGTGATCAAAACGATCAGTTCAGTAACCTTCCCAGCACCAAGGTCAGGCTGACAGACCTGTAGTTTCCTGGATTCTCCTTCAGGCTCTTCTGCTAGAAGGATGTCACATTAACCAACCTCCAGTCATCTGGGACCTCCCTGGTGAGCCAGGACTAATGAAAAATGATGGAGAGTGGCTTGGCCAGCTCGTCTGCCAGCTCTCTCAGAACCCTTGGATGGATTGCATCCGGCCCCATAGAGTTGTTTCTGTTTAAGTGAGCACCAGGTCACTGCTTCCTCTTGGATTATGGGGACTTCATTCTGCTCCTAGGCTGGAGCTGGAGGAGTCTGCGGGTGGGTGAGGACACAGCACCACTGCCTCCCATCCAGCCCATCCTGAAGTCCAGATTTTTGACCCAGGAGCTGCAGGCTCACCTACTGGACCAGGAGGACAATAAGAACTGCACTCAAGCTGTGGAGGAGCTGAAGAGGGTGGTTCGAGGTGCCAGCCAGGCAGCAGCAACCTCTATCCCTGCCCTTGGCCTCCTGGGGCTCATCAGCTTCCTTTACACACTCCTCAACTACTCCAACTTCAAGTGGTGCTCAGGGCACTGAAGGTGATCCATCTGCTGGCACTGGGTGACCAGGTCCAGGCCTTCCTGGCACCACTCGTCTCTGCTGCTGGTGAAGTCCTGGGGGGACAAGAAGCTGGCCATCCAGCAGGAGTACAAGCCCCTGTTCCTGTGGCTGATGAAAGCAGCGCATTCTCAGCAGGTGCTGGGCCTGCTGCTGCAGTGAGAGTACCTGCAGCTCAACAACTCCAGAGTCCAAGAGGACGTGGTCATCATCGTGGCCTTCTTCACTTCCCCTACTGGGGAGCTGGACTTGGCCAAGCTGGCATTTGGGCTGACTCCAGCACTGGTGGACAGCAAGAGCAGGGTCTGGCACGATGCCATGGAAATGTTTGCTGTGGTGGCATCTTCCATAAGCCCAGGCAAAACCATCCCTCTCTTCAAGTCAGTGGATGCTGTGGAACTGGAGGACAACAGGGACGGGGTGATGCATGTGGTGCAGGCCAGGCTGGCCAGGCAGACCCTGCTGAAGCTGAGTGGACCAAGGGTTTGTACAGCACATTGTGCCCTTGCTGTTATCTGGTCATGACAGGGGGTCCTGTTTACCCTCTGGAACAGATACAGACTGGCTTTTGATGGGCCACAGGACTCTGAGCACACACAGTTACTGTGGGTAACACTCAAGGGATGATGCTCTGGCAAACTCCAGCTCTGTGGTGTCTAGACTGATACAGGAATAAGTCCAAGAAAAGTCTCGAGTGCGTGGACAGATAAAAAAAAACAAACTGCCTTGGGAAAATAAGCATGCTGGAGACAAGGAAGGTGGTTCAGGAGTCGAGATGCCTTTCTCAAAGGGTGTGGAGAAGGGTTGCCAGCTGTGCTGCAGGGTTCTGAAGGGCGATCTGATTCAACTGAGTGTCCGAGCTGCGCAGGGTGTTCCTGTGTGGCACCAAGTCCAGGCATGACAGGGGTGACGGGTGGTGCCACCTCCAGTAGCAGAGGGATCACTGGCTACTGACAGTTATTTTGACACTAGAGATGCAAGTGCTGAGTTTTTCTTAATTTGTTAGGATTTGCATGAGACCATAGTTATGTTCAACCTTACAAACACCTTAGTGAGAAGCTCTAGTCAGAGATGCTTGAACTGCCACCACCTCACGTAACATTCTGATATGTATATAATATGCCATAATCTAATAAAGTATATTTGCCTGGGAGTTCCCAGGGTGAAGTCTGTTGCCAGCAATGGACCCACTGGGAAGAGCAAATGCCTAGAAAAATTAAATCAAATCCAAAGTGAAGTTTCGAATAACCTCCAAAGCTCCTGTATCAAAGCCACATATATCCAACATGCCTCTGTCATCTGGATCTGCCACTGTAAAACCATTTGAGGTCATTCCACAAACAATCAGTTTAGCAGGAATACCCATTTTCTAGAGGAAGGACAGAAAAAAAAAAAAGTCAGAAAACACATACAGAGTAAAACATGGCAGAACATATATATACAGTAACTTAAACACGCCAGAGGGCCAAATCTTGCTTGCATAAACCACTGTCTGAATAGCCATACTGATAGAAACGAGATAAGCCCCAATCAGAGCTGAAGACTGCCTGCTAACATTGTGTTTAACCTGTAGCAGACATATTTAAATAAATGGAAATAATTGCAATGAGGTATATTAGCAAAAATTTCCTGCAATACTACAATTTGTAGATTATTTCAAATGCAAACACTGCATTTGCTATTATGCAGTTCATTCTTAGAGACAACTCAATAATAATTATGAAGTCACCTAACAGACTCAGAGAGTGCATTTTTGTCTAAGGCAAGGATTTCCAAATGTTGCTTGAATAAATACAACAACTGTGGTCTGGACAATTCTGCTAAATAAACTGAATTTGCAGGTAAGTAATCTCTAAGGTAAAGCAAAGCAAGTGGCATGAAGGCCAGAGTGCAGGAACTCTTTCTTTACAGAACAAATTTAGGAATGGGAGCTAATCTCAACTAAGAAAACTAAAACACAGTTCATACACACATGTTTACCAGAAGTATTTTTTGTAGTTTAAAAAACAGTTTCTTTAAAAGATTGTTTGCTGAGTTTCTAATAGCAATGTGCTTGGAAAGGCTATTTTTCTTTGTTCTATTTTAAAATTATTAAGCTTAGAGTAGTCCCTTTAAAACATAATGGGCTTTCTTCAGAAAATAGTGCCACCTCACCCTACTGACACCTTCCTATAGGCTTATCTTCATTACTTTATTTAAACTTTTTGGTAACTACTGCAGACACCAAGGGTAAATTTAATTCTGTGAGCCAAATTTCATTCTGTAAGAACTATTAAAAAAAATGTATTCAACCAATTATATATCGAATGCAAAAATTCATATATTCCCTGAAGAGCAAACAAAGTTTCATGGATATTGCAATACACCAAGCAGGGTAGGCTAATTACAAATCCTTATAGTAATCCTGTGGTTTTAAATGTGCACAATTAGTGCCCTATGTCCACTAATTCTACCTAACTGCAGAACTGAGCAGTTTTTAACAATATATAATTATTTACTGAAACACAGCCACAACTAATTCAGTCCCTAAAACATCTTTAGAGCTGGTATTTATTTTTGTACTGCATTCACTAATCATGAACAGTCAGAAGCATGTTTACCTCTCGGTACTCTCTAAGGGCTGCTGCAGGAGGAGTATTTCCAGCAAAGGTCTCGTTATCAGTAAATACAATGAAGACATCAACAGCCCTCTGAGTTTTTTGAGCCCATATCATTGGAAGGGAACAATCAGTGGTACCCACTGGAATCTTAAGGGAAAAAAATAAATATACGTGGAACACATTAATACTGAAATTAGTAAACCATGGACAAATTACCTTTTATGTAAACTTCATGCTTTATCACACAGAGGTTTTTTTGTTAAACTTAGTCATTTCATCTTAGTTTTGACCAGGTTTTTTTTTAGTTGAGTCGGGGTTTTTTTAACTTTATTTTCAACTCATTGTGACCTAGCACTGCCATTCTAAATTGCAATGTTTAATATCTGAAATATTGACATTTTTTGGACTTTCTCTAAATAAAAAGGACCAAAAAATCCAATGTTTTGCTACAGAGATACACACTACACAAAGTAATAAAACTGATTACAAAGAAAATACAATGTAACTGCTGAGACTTTTTTTTTTTTTTTTTTTTTTTACATACTTCATACATTTTCACTAAAACTTGAGGTAACGTCATATCAGCCATCACTGGACACGGGACCATTTCATGTGAAAAGGCAGCAATGTGGGAATCCTTCTCAGTACGTGCTACAACCTGAGAAAGAGGAAGACAAAAATAATTTAGTTATATTACTCTGAATTTTTAATGTCTGGATTGAGCCATTCCCTACCAAACACACAGCATGACATGCTTTTGCATTTAAGACACCAGGGTCCTCATATGCACCAACAGTTCACTCTACACTTTAAATATTCTGTAATATTTTACTGCAAATAAGCACTGTCAAAATCAGAGCTCAAGAACTGCTCTAATTACTACAACTAAAGATACTTCTATATTTCTTCTCTCCCCTCTGACTTAAAAATATTGAGTGTTTTTAAACACTAACAAAAGGTCAACTCCTCTATAATACAAGAATACGATGCAACACAGCAGCTTTGCAACACCAAATTGAGGGGAAGGTGATTGTGAATAAAGGCCACATGGATAACTCAAATGCACACAGGATTTATTCTAAAATTCCTTAATCCAATCTGTATTATTCCATAAGTGCTTCTGAAAAAAATTAAAATGTATTTTCAGCTAAGTGAAAAAGCTGCCCTGACCACTTTGGTTTATCCTTGAAACCAACTTCTTGAAACCGATCTTTCTGAATATGGTTACCAGGAACTTTAAGGAACTGATCTACCAGTAAGGCGCAAGGTCACGCCTTCCATACCCCAAAAAATATTATATATAAGTTTCCTCCTGATTTCTAACCAGCTTTAAGGCACCTTTGTATCAAAAGACCAGTTACAAATAAAAGAAATGCAATGCCTCACCATACACATCGTTGCTGCAACAGTGCTCGCATTGAGCACACTGCCCAAAACTTTTTGTGTCATTGATGCACTGACATCAACTGCAAGTAAGAAGCGTTTTCCTGTTGGTTCAAGTGTCTAAGAGGAAAAAAAGAGAAAAAAAGAAGATAGGTACACATAATTAGTATTGTTGCCAAAGTTTTAGCACCGTTACCCACCCCACAAACGTTTCGTGATAAGCTTTCAGAAAACACAGAACCCTTAAAAAGGCTTAACAAACTGAAGAACTGTATTACCTTGAAAGCTCTGTAAAATGAGGCATCTAAAGCTTCTAAAATGTCTTCATCAGGACGCCACCAAAGCTTCCCTCTGCTTCCATGTCCAGCTTTATATGTTTCTAATGCAACCAAAATATGCAATGGATGTATTTTACCCTACAGGCAAAAGAAATAAAAACTGAGCTTCTTGAAAATTTGACCTCCTTTAAAAAAAAACCAACAAAGCAGTAACAAACTGAACAGAAAAAATAAGGTTCTCCTACAAAAATCTCTGGCTCAGTATACTGTTACTTTAAATTCATTAAATTTGAAGAGTTCATGCAGCCTTTCCACAGCTGTTGTATGAACTGATACTCCTCAGTCACTGGTGATGGACCTCATCACCTTTCCAGAATCCTCCAATCAACACCAAATATTAAGCCATCACCAGAATTTTGGTAAAACTTCACAGCTTTGTGATTGTCCATCACAGGGTTACACTAAGAGAAAGTCCCTGTCCTGCTGAGGGGAAAGCAGCTGAGCTAGGAAAAGAACAAACTTAAAACTAGTTTTATATCCAATACAATAACACCGGACAAAGAAACTATTTTCAGAATACAGCATTCATTTTCCTCTTGCTATAAAACATTCCAAGCATTTTTATTTTTTTGCTTTCCATACATAAACCATATAACTTGTTTCGTGCTAAACCACATCTTTGCTTTACTGAGTTATCAACATTTTGTTATTTTTTTTTTTTCTCAGGGAGAGTTTCAGTCATTAATCACTGCCAGCAGCAAACCTCAGCAAATCTGAACACCTGTCCACCACCTTTCTTCCATCAAGGTACTGCACCACCATCTTTGCTCTCCCTTCTCCAGTGCCTATGCCTGATTAAAGAAGGAACCAGAGAAAGGGAAGAGCAGCGGGATGGGAAAAAAGGGACCGAAGTTGTTGTGCTCAAATTAGCTTTGAATAGCCTTGAATAATTTAAGGGTCCTTATTTTAATCTTCCCAACTCACAAAACTGTTGGTAAAGGCACTTGTCCTTTCTATCTTCCATTACATTCCTGGATATTTTCTTCTCCCTTTGGGGAATCCTCTTTTCCCTCTTATTTTCTTACCTCTTTGATGGATAGTAAAGCAATCTGAAAGGAGAAAAATCTCCTTTTCCCCTCAACTGCTATGCTGGTTTCTTCATTCACTTTCTAGGATCTTATACAAGTGACTTCACTCCTTTTTTAAGCTTGCCTTGCTGATTCTAAATTACAAGACTCAGAAGGAACACATGAACCCCAGAGCTAAAGCTTGCCACAGCCCTCATTTAAGAATAAACTACACAGCTCCTCCAAAGAACATCAGTTTTATTTTGTAAAGAAGTTGGCTGAAGAAATACAGTAAGGGAAGAGATTAAAACCCACAAGGGCTGGCATCGATTATGAAAAAGTTCTTACCTTTTTTAGCAGTTTCTCATTTCTCAGTTTTTCACATACTATTGCCACTTCTGAACCTCGTGGTTCCAGCACTGAATTTGCTGTCAGCTTTCCTAAATTTCTCAACAATACAGAGATGGGCATTTCCTTCAGCAATGCCTTCCAAACCTATGGTCAAAGAAAGAGAAATGAAAAAACAGAAAGACAAGATTCCCAAACTACAAGAACTGAAATCTGAACATTGAATAAGCATATTTTCAAATAAATGTACAAATTATACATTGAACTTAATTACTTTAAATCAGCTCTTTGGGCAAACAACTTGAAGAACAGCATAACGGCTACTTTTTACAGAAATCTAGACCTAGGACTCTAAAAAGCATTACCCTAAAGAGAATTCAAAGCTAATGAAGTTCACCTACCTCTTTAGATTTCAGGTGGTTTGTCAGGAGATGCTCTCTAACTAGACCATATTCCTCTATCAAATGAATAACTTCCAATTCATCTTTTGTGCGTTTTACTTTCTCCACAGCCTCCAGATACTTTAAGAGTTTTTCAGTCTCAATAGAAACTGCTTTCTCTTTATAAGCTTCTTGGACATCTTTCCACCCCTTGGTAATATATTTAGTGACTATAGCAATTCCTATTGAAAAAAGAAAACATTTTTTCCAGCAGGATTACCATCTGTATACTGGCATTTATCACTCTCACGCTAATGAGTCAGCAGGTTTCAACCTCAGACCTGCCAAACACCTATTAAAAAGGTCAGACATACAATTTAGAGCAGTACTTTTAATTACTGTATTATTCCCCTTAGAACTAAGAAGCCTAATATCTTTGCTAAGTTGCCCAGAGAAGTTGTAGATGCCCCATCCCTGGAAGTGTTCAAGGCCAGGCTGGATGGAGCTCTGAGCAACACAGTCTAGTGGAAGGTGTCCCTGTCCCTGGCAGGGGCTTGGAACAACATGATCTTTAAGGTCCCTTCCAACCCAAACCATTCTATGATTCTATGATTTGACACCAACAGATCTTAACAAATAACAAAAAAAGCGTTATTTCATCATTTGTAAGCAAATAAGAACAAAATGAGGAAATTGTGTTATTTTATCTTCTCTTGACATATGGAAGAAAAAGAACAAACTGTTTATCTTGAAGACAAACAGGTCAATTTCTGATACAAACCCTCACATTTTTAGTACGCAATTTACAAGATACGCTCACTAAGAATTCATCTACAATGGTACTCGGGTTTCCAAAATACTTCCACAATAAATATAAAAGGTTTAAAACACAGTATTTTCAGGTAAATAAAAATTTATTACCTTCACTGGCAGGTTTTAGGTGGGACAACCTCAGAAGATCTTTATGAGACCAACCACTTCTTTGCTTATATTTTGTAACTGCTAAAGCAAGAGCCATGCCATTCTTTCCATTGTACCAATCTGCAACAGCTTTCCTCAGTGCACGGCCCCACATGCCACATTTCATGCCCTCCTTCAGATCTTTTTTAAACTGGATGAAAGTAAAGAGATGGGTTGGTATGCAACACACCTCGGGGACAGCCTTAAACGCCGCTTGTTTCGTTTTCACATCAGAGCACTGCGAGCAAACTGCAAGGGCAAAAAGCAGGGGCTCCTGCTTTGCTGCTCTGCCCTCTTGGCTAAACGCTTTTATTTCTTCAACAACTTCACAACCCCTGCCCTCTTCGATCAGTCTTAGCAAGGCTTCTGCATTTTCGAAGCCCAGCTTCTGCTCCCTGATGTGGTAAGCGCCACACTCGGAGCCGAAGCACAAGAAGTGCCGCAGTCGGCTGGTGTCGGTGACACTCCACACGTCACCGCCTTCGGAGCCGGGCGCCTGCCTCTCACTCGGGAGCTGCACTCCGCTCTCCTCATCCTCCATGGTTTAGACTTCCAAGAGGCCTGTTGAAAGAATAATAAATTTTACAAAAAAGACCCGATGACTACTCTTTCATCACTTTTTAGCAAAGCAAATGTATCTTGTCTACACGTTTCCTTCATAAAATTAATCAGAGCGCACTCTCGGTGTGCAATAATGCACATTTTTGGGGGAAAACAAACAACAACAAAAAAAATCTCTGAGTTATAATGGTGACAAACTTACTTCTTTGGAACAAGCTTAGAAACTACACAAAACCCATGTCTGATGTTAAAGCCTTTTGCCACTAATAGATTACATGACTTTCTTACCTAGATTTTTGGACTGCAGACTAAACAGCTCAAAACTCACATCTTACCCTACTCTATTTTGCTGAAGAATTGCTAATACTGACCAACTGGAGAAAAATGAGGGTAAAATATAGAACTAAAATAATTTAAAACTGTTTAGTCAGAAGACTTCATGAGAGTTTATATATGGTGGGTTTCCGTGAGGCTTAGACAACAGCTTTTTAACAGCTGAGTACCTCAAGAACGAATTGTCTTTGTTACAGGCTCAAATAGTCTGCTGTTCCAAGTGAGATGAAAGAAAACTCAAGACATAAAAAATTCTGTACCACTTTACAGCACAAAAATTCTCAGTCTTTCAGATCTTGATACACTCCTGAGTTGTAAGAGAGTTCAGCTGTAATATTTCCAGGCAACATCACTGCTCCTACTTGGAGAACATCCAGCATGGTAAAATTCAAGCCATGACATTTAAAATTAATAAATGCAGGTGAAATCAAATCAGCAAGGCAAGGGTAAAAAAATTAATCATCATCACTACCTCCAAAACATTAATAGTGCAACAATAAATTTAGTTGTCTCAGTTCTCGCCAAATAATAAAAAGACATTAAATAGCACCAAGAGCTCCTATTAAAAAAAAAGCAGCACCAATAATCCACTCTATCAAACTGTACACATCTTAAAACACACACAGACTGAAGTCTGAGAACACACAAATGACATTTCCAAGAAATCCACTGAACAATTCTAAAGTATTGCAAATATCTACTTTTGACATGCTCCTGCCGATGCTGAAGATGAATAAAAGCATTTATTTTAATTTTTTATTATCCTTTTTTTTATTATCCATTTACCAGGATAAGCTCGAATAAATAAATGTGACTAACACAGACAGAGATGTTTTTCCCCCCAGTTTAGGTAAGCACTTTGTTTACAAACAACTTCCCTCCCTCTTTGACTCGGAATTTCCCTTTCTCTGTAAGTGACTAGAAATGCACCTTTCCTGTTTTTCCTGTACAACATCTGTGCTGATCTGCCTCCAGAACCAAATGATAACCAGCAGTGCTCCCATTACATTCTACAATCTCCTAAAATCATAAAAACAGAAGCCATATGCTGGCACTTGGTTTAAAAAAGCAGGTTTCAGTTAGAAATTATCTAAGAAATATCTTTCATTGTTTCATTCAGAGCATCACTATTTTTCTTAGTGATTAAATTATATATTCTAACCATGTCTCCTGCCAAACCTATTTAAATACAAATCATGGTTGAGTTGACTTTTTCACTGACATCTGAGGCATGCAAATACACTGAAAATAACAAGGGTGGTATTCTCAGTGCATGAATACCATATCAGCACCTTTTAATGTCTAGATTCATTTATTTCCAGTACATGGATACTGAAAAACACCATTATCTTGAAAGGAAGATGAGAATGAGTAGCATAAAGGATCATGGTGAATAATGAGATCTCCAAATACATGAAATATTGAGAATAATTTCTTGCTCTACCTTTCATACCCCTGCTAAAATAAATACTACTACATTAAAATGAGACAAATGAGAAAACTCTTTTCAGTCACCTATGGATTATCAAGACTTAAAATGAACTGGAAGAACCATGTCTTCAGTTAAATCAAACGTCTCACTTGGCTGATTATATTAAGAAATATCAGCACTACTTGGAATATTTCAGAGTTTTTTCCTGTGTTTATCAATTTGTGCACAGGTTCGTTCTGATATGTCCACTTTATTTTAATTTTCACTTGGAGGGTCTCACTAGTCCTCACACACTCAGTTTTCTAGTCACTAATACAAATTAGCTGCCATCGTCATCACCACCCCACAGATGGGAACAAACCTAAAAATGATACCATTTCTCAATTTAAAAATGATATTTATCTGATTTGAAATCTAGATGTTTTATAAAATACTGTGACACAAGATCAGTATTTCCATTAAAGGTACCATCCTGAAAGGCAAACAATTCACTTCTCCATTGTTACGTGCAAATACGCTGTATGATTTTAATTGCATTGTTTTAAAGAAGTTTAGAGCTAACCCTCAGACAAAAAAATTCTCCTGCTGCACTCCTCTATTACACTGTGTAAGTAACCTAACTTAGGCATGTTAATAAGGCATAATTTTTATATTTACTTTTGTATGGACTAGGCTATTCATGGACTCAGTGTCAAAAAGACTTATGTGCGTCCATCCACAGGCTTCTGACACAAACCCATAATAGAAAAGATAGCTGCAAATGTACACTCCTTGCTTTTCTGAAGCTTCTCTTAGTTTTTCTGACACTTAGCACTTTAATTTGCCTTCTTAGAAATATACTACGAGCTCCAGAACCAGATGCTGTTAGAACCTCCACCTTTTGTAGAGCTTCATGTTCACTCAGCTCTCAAAGTTATCTTCTCAGATACAACACAGTATGTCAACAGAGTGAATTCCCTGCAGCACTTATCCCATTAAAAATGCCCACAGCAAGTCTTCTGAAACCTTTAATAAAGTTGTTAATGCTTTCTGATATGAAATCTAGGACACAGACTTGTCTCTAATGGCTTCTTGCTGCCTCAGAGCTTTAAAAAGAGATTCAACCCAACCTAATATTTTGGATCCTACCACAAACTGTAAATTCTTTAAAATAAATATCTATTTTAAAAATTACCTTTGAAATCTGCAATTTATACCACCACTAAACAGTCACACTAAAAGTATCAAATTGACACTTAGCCAGGAACTACCTGAAAAGCACTTACTCACAGTTGAGCTATTCAAGTCATGTTGGCCATTTCTAACCCTATTTTACATTTTAATCTCACAAGTTCCCAAAGCTATTCCCAGTGTCTCTCCTCTGCCCAGACCTCAATCTTATTTTCTCCTTTAACATCTGCACAACAGAAAACTTTCACTCTCACAGATGGATAAATGCAAATAATCATTTAACTTATGTTCTACCATAACCCAACTCTTCATCTGCTGAGCTACAGCAGGAAACCTGAATTTCAAACACTCATGCAAGGATTTATCAATGATACTCTGGCCCCATAAGCATTTTCAATTTTTGAGCTACTGGGATACAAGCAAATATGTGAAAAGCCTTAGAAGTCACAGACCAGGTATTTTACAACAAAAATTGCTGAACTAAACTCGAAGGTTGCTCCCCGTAATTAAGGGAAGAGGAAAAACACTATATTCCAACCATCATATGAATTCCTAAGTAAAATATGGCTTTGACTGCTCTGAAACAGTCTACACTTAAGTCTGGATTGCTAAGTCAATATCTTTATGTTGCTGTGCCAAAGCATGATTTAGTTCTGTAAATTGACCTCTATTAATTTCTGTGACTTTCACAATTCGCCATGAGTCTTCCTACGAAATAAAATGTCTTAAAGCACAAGTTTCAGGTATATATGAAAAAAACACATAAAGCAAAACCATTAACAGAACCGTAGATTCTAGCTTAAGTTCTTAAGTTTAACTGCCAGGTTAACAATGATGAACCAAACTTTGTTGAAAGCCGATGGAATTAAGCTTTGAAAAAGTCAGATGTAGAAAACTCACTGACATTTTAAAGACAATGCTTCAAATTGTCTTCAAATATTTCAAAACCACATATACTTCGTTCCACAAGAAACTGCACCCTCTCACTCAGTCCTTGAAATTAAACTGAAGATTATAAATACTGTCTTCTGATTCACTGAGCAGAGAGACTAAAACCATCAGACCAAATTATGGTGGTAACAAAACAGGCCTGTGCTGTAGCACAGCTCTGACAACATAGTCCCCATACTTCTGAAAATAAGCACTTGTACGTCAATTGGAACTCCAGGAGAACACTTCCCAAATCACAAACGGAGCGATGTCCGATGGCAGCACAGAAGATATCAGAGTACACGAATCACATACCCACTCACACGTTTCTACCGCACCATTTGCAAGAATCCGCCTGCTTAAAAAAAAAAATGCTCTGACTGGGGGGCAAAGGCAGCTTAGCTTACGCAGAAGAGAATTACGAGGCAGGAGCACCTAAAGCCGATAGCGGAGCGCAGCTGTCAGTCTCTATAAAGGCGATAAACACACGTGACGGGGGAGCTACGTAACACAGGGACACGCCCGGCGATGCCCCGCGGGGCTCCTCTCGCCCCGGTGCCGCCGGGGGTGCCCCCCTGGCTTCCCCACGTTCCGCCCCCATCCCTGGGGCCCCCGGGGCTGGCACGGGGAGCCCGCACCCCGCTCCCCCCGCACCCCGGGACGCGCCACTTGCCTGCGCGGCCGCGGCCCGGGCGGGGCCGGGCGGTGCCGCAGCGCCGGAGCCCGCGGGGGAACGGGCGGGGGACGCGCCGGGGACACCGAGCGGCGGCGGGGCCGCGCCGGGCGCGCAGGGCGGGCAGGGCTGTCCCGCTGCGGCCGCCGGAGCTCCGCGACTCCCGCACCGGCCCCGCCCGCCGCGCCCCGACAGCATCGCCGGGACCCGGATGGGGCCGCGCCCCCCGCGCGGTGCCCGGATGGAGCCGCGCTCGGGGCCGGCCCCGCTCCCCGCCGGGGCGTACGCGGGTCCCGCACCCTCCGCCCTCCCCGCAGCCGCCCCGCAGCGGCCCCGCGGGGCGTGGCGCGGTCCTCCCGCGGCCGGGGCGGTGCCGGAGCCGCCGGCGGCTGCCCCGGATCCAGTCGCGGGCGCCGCTTCCTGCGGCCGCCCCGCCTCTCCAT